AAAAATGATTATAGGATGAAAGATACAATATTTGGTAACAAGTAAAGATAAAAACGCCACTGATTTTTTTGGTATCACTCTTTAGAGTATGCATCTTCGTTCTTTCGAGTTTCAACGGCTCAATGGTTCGAAACACTTTGAAGAGAATGCAACAGTTTTTGTAAACTAAGAAAATTTATTATAAAGTCCAATACTGTTTTTAAAATAGAGTATTTTCGTGTTGACAAAAAAAGAAAGAGATATATAGTCCTAGTCAAAGAAATTGCTAGGATATGATCATCTATATATTAGATTCTTCAAGTGTACCATTGAATTGACCCTAAATTTTTTTACATAGATTTGACGACCATTAATTACCTTTATAGATCCGTACTTGAAGAACCTACTTTAGCTTCTGCACCCAAAAAGGATCGACACTCGCGCATTTTCTTCATAAAGGATGGGTTGCAATCATCTACCTCTAGTAGTCCAGTGTTCTTGAATTGATTCGAGATGTTTTCCAATTTATAACAATGCCTAACAATCACCCACCTTAAGTACCCATTTATGGGCTTATTTCTAAAGTGACCTTTATTTATAAGGTAAATTACAACCACCTCCTTGAGGTATGATCAATTTACGAAAAAACCCCTCTTGTTTGGATAATTACATCTACTCCCAACTATGTTTTTTTCTTACACCTGAACCCTTATGGTGTCAAATTCAACATAATCATCCAGATTTCGTGGAATGTGCTCTAGTTTGTCCTCGTTTTGTGTAAAAATACAGTTTCTGATAAACCACAATCTGATATATACAAGCCAAAAAACACATATTATGATCATCTTGCTTCAAAATGTGGAGTTCGAATGGGATAAAGCGGGTAGAAAAGTGATAATATTCTATATATACTCGAAAATTCCACTAAATTTGAAACCGCAAGGGTGGACGTGTAAGAAGATTTATAGTTGAGGGGTGGTTGTAATTACCCAAACATGAGGGTTTTTTTTGTAATTTGACCATACCTCAGGGGTGGTTGTAATTTACCCTTATTTATAATCATTTATATTTAATTTTGATAGTAAACAAAACATATTTTATTTTACACATATTAACTCCGGGAAAATTACATTTTTCGTCCTCATACTTTACTCACTTTTTCAAAACTGTCCCTAAACATTTTGGAGTTACAATAGTAGTCCTTAATCATGCCATTTTTTGACAGAATTGGTCCGCCGTTAATTTTTGCCGTTAAGTTGGATGGAAAATGGCATGTGCCTCTCACATGCCTTCAATTTACAACACTACATGAAAATGGACTTTCAACAAAACGCATTGCGTCTTGTTAAAACATATTTTTTATAATTATTATTTTTAATTAATTAATATAAAAACGAAATCACTTAAATTCCAAAAAAATCAACTCATTTCGGAAATATTGTTTAAAAAATCAAAATATAGTTTAAAATTTTAAAATATTGTTCCAAAATCGGCATTTTCGGAATTCAATTAAAATATATCGTTTCTAACCAAAATAAAAAAACCCGATAGGAATTGTGGAATTAGAAATATCCATTCCAATTTTCACCTCTAGTCAATTCCAAAAATCCCAATTGTGAGACAATATGTCGAGTTTAAGCCATTTTATTTATTTTAAAAAAACTTGATAAAAAACACTATTTTGGTATAAAAAAATCCCGTTTTCAATTGGGTTTCGGTTTTACGGTTCAACCTATTAAACTGGATCGGGAAAGACAACAGTTCGCAGTTTAACCGGTCCGATCCGGGTTCCAAAACACTGCTGTCAAGCCATTTCAAAAAGTAAAAACCATAGTTAGTTATCTACTCCAAAAACATCATTATTTCCAGATTTGCTCCGTAGTAGCATCAATTATGTAAAATTAATTGCCTATTAACATTCATTGCAAGAATGGCCTGACGAATGAATCATGGAATGTATTCTTATTCTCTTCACTTCTTGTACACCAATGAAGAATGATATGTCTAATTGGGCCAACCCAATGGGCCTACAATTTCTTTACCTACTGGGCCACGAGCCCAATATCGAAGACCATTATCACAGATGCCCAATCACCTTCAAGTAAGGTTTGGGCCCGACTATCTCAACTAAGCTATAAATAAAGGTTTGAATTCATTCCTTAAGGTATGTCCTATTAACTGAGTAATACTATTAACTGTATTCTCTGGACTATTTCCACTATTAGCACGTCTGACTTGAGCGTCGGAGGGGTTTCCGCCGGATCAACCCCCGGCCTAGTTCACGTGTTCTATGATCGCAGGTACCTCAGGATCATCAAGTTGTCAAGCTACTGATCCGCTTTGCTCTCCCAGTTCGTTTTCTACACTACCCCAGGTGATCTAAGTAATTAGCATCATCAAAGAAAATCTTTCAAAAACCTCTCTTCGATGAATTCACTATTCCCTGAAAGACTCTAAGAACGAGCTAATTGCATAGACCCCCTGTGAAATCTTGAATGACTAAAAAACCCCCCATGTTAAAAATATTAGCATAAACCCCCCTATATTATTTTTGACAAAGCACACTGCCCCTTATTTCGAAATTAGCAGTTGACTTTTAAGAAATGACTAAAGTAACCCTCATATTTTTAATAGTTTATGTTTCAATTAAATAAATAAAATGCAAAATGCAAAAAGAAAAAAAAGAAAGAAAAAGAAAAGTCAACCCAGGCCATCGTCTTCCTCCCACAACCCAATTCTTCCATAAGTCCTCCGCCGCATCACCACCACCACGTCCGCACCACTGCCGCAACCCGATTCTTCCATCGAGCCCTACGCCGCCGCATCACCACCACCACGGCCGCATCACCACCACAACGTCCGCACCACCACGGCCGCACCACCGCCGCATCACCACCACCACGTCCGCACCACCGCCGCATCACCAACACCACGGCCGCACCACCGCCGCATCCCCATCTGCCTTCCCACCCCAAAAAAAATATGCTTTATGTTTGATGGGTTCTTTCGTATCTCTTGTAAATCAAGATGTTGGATCGAGTTACGTTTTGTGCGTGTGTGTATTGTATTGGGCCTGTGTTTTTTGTGCTTGAAGTGCTTTTTTCTTCCGGCAGGTTTAGATGGAGGAAGCAACTTTTGTTGTTTTTTCTTCTTTTGCAAATGGGCAGGTTATGAAGATGAATCGGTGGTTTTTGTTTGTTTGTTTGTTTTTTTTTTTTTTTTTTATTTGGCGTGCAGCATATCTGAAGGAGAGGGGAAGAAGATGATGAAGTTTTGAGAAATTGTGAAAATTGCAATTTGGTTCTATGCAATTTGGAGAGAGGGCTTTTCTGAAGTTAGTGGGGATTGAATTGAAAATTCTGAAAACTTCATTTTGAGCTTATGAAAAATATTTTGGGTAAGTTTATAAATTTCAAAAATTGATTTAAAGGGTATTTAGGTCTTTCTAGTTCCTAAACACGAGGCCCAGTCGCACAAAGCGCGAGTGTATAACACATCGAGCTCGTAGGGTCTTTTTTGGCTTTGACTATTTTTCATAGGGGGTTTTGTGCTAATATTTTTAACACGAGGGGTTTTTCAGCAATTCGAGATTACACAGGGGTGGTTTTTGCAAAAAACCCCTCTAAGAACAAATATTAGCTCAACTGGATGCGATCGATCGAGTCATATTAAAACCGTAAGCATTTTGAAACTAGTATTTGTAAAATAAAATATAAATTTCAAGTGACTAATGCATACTGATAATGTTTTAAGCAAGGTTTTAAATTTTAAAAAGCTAGTTGAGATTTTCATAATTAGAATATATAATTCAAAAACAGTATGTATAAATACAAGCTAAGATAAAACGAAAACAATAAAAGGACTTGGAGAAAACAACTTAACTGTAGTTATCGATGCATGTACCGTAATAGAGCTCGTGCAAAAAATGTAAACAAAATTCTAAATCCATTATATAAATTCAGAGATTAGTTCAAATTTTAGAGACATTGATTTCAAATATGCCTCCGTACAGAAAAACAGGAACTTATATATCCAAACAAATCTACCCGGTCTTGTTGACGAAACGGTATTATAATCTGCTTCCTTTACCCAATCAATCGAGCGCACGAATCCATTGCACATTCCAGATTCTCTAGATTGAATCTTTAAAACAAGAAGGGGTATAACCGAATTTTGTTAAGCTTTTTGGAAATTTTCATTCATGAGTTTTAGAAAAAAATAATAAATATATAAATACACATATATCTTGGTCTGATTATCAAGGCCTTGAGCGAAGGAATCAAGCTCGAATAACCTAGTTCTTTTTATACATATTTTAGAATTTTTGTTCTAGGCGAGTTACGAGTTGAACTTGAGCTTGAAATGAGCTTTCATACCTTAACCATATTCATTAACAACTTACAGGGAGGTACATTTTGACATTCAACAATCATATGATAGAATCGAATCCATCACACTTTTTATTTTTTAATTTCCAGCCATTGCAAAAGTAAAAATTATGTAAAATTAATTACCTTTGACGTTACAAGAGTGGCCTCACGAATAAATCAAGAAAATATCCAAAACATAAGTTTCAATGATCACCCAAAAAACAAAAGTTTACAAAAACAGGAAAATATCAAATCATAAACAGTTTTATGAAAGCTTTGAAATTTTGCCACACTTGCCGAATAGGAATCTTCATCTTCATTTGAATAGTTGAGGCATTTCAATCGCCGAGCAACACACGATTAGCCATTTGGAATTTATTATAATCCTGTACGTACAGATAAACAAAAATCAATCAAAACCTCTCTTCAACGTTTTCAAGGATCAAGCTTACCAAAAATTCACAGAGGAAAAAGCAAAATTCATCGTGCAGCTAAGTTGAAAATCAACACAGAATTGCTCTGGTAGATATATAATGGTTAATGAACTGAAAATGATTATAGGATGAAAGATACAATATTAACTAAAACGCCACTGATCTTTTGGTATCACTCTTTAGAGTATACATCTTCGTTCTTTCGAGTTTCAAGGGCTCAATGGCCGAAAAAACTAAACGTTTCGGTTGAGTCGTGTGCTGACTCAATTTGAACGGATATTCTCGTTAGCTTTGGGATTCTTGAAAGCACTTCTACGGTACAACTGTGAACACTCACACCTGAAACTGTTATAAGATTCTCAAGATGAGAATCATCCGGAGGAGGTGGGAGGTCGAAGCCCTTGCAATAAAGTTGCCTCAGTTTATGCATGTTCCAGATATCTATAGGCAGATAAACTGGACCATTATTCGGCAATTTGATATCATGATGCCGAGTGAAAATCAATACCTCGAGATTCCAAAGTGTGGATATGGAGTTGGGAAGCTCTCTATCACACGTGATGGAAAGATACGTCAAGTGAACTAATGCAAGTAGTTGATGTGGGAACTCGTAGAAGCGGATCGCAAGTGCATCTAGTACCTTGAGAAATCTAAAACACAAGGGCAACAATACTGGATATTGTTGTTTTGGACCGAAACACAGAAGAGATCGTGCATTCGGAACAGACTCCATCCATTCATGAACTTGTGTTAAAGCAAGAATAACATTATTGTGGACGCACAAACGCTGCTGCATTCTGATGTTCTCCGGAGTACAATCGGTGTATTTTTTCAGGATATGGAAAAACTTTTCACTTTTAGCTTCACTAACACATAGACTTCGAAAGGTGAAATGCAATCTACAGTTCTTAGATCTAAACGAATTGACAGAAGTGTGTTTTTCTCTCAAAACAACACTTCGCTGAATAAGTTGATCTAAGTAGTTTCCGGCAGTTTCTTCAATCACCAGGTATGTATCCAGAAAGCCCTCAGAGACCCATAATTTGATGAGGTTTGATCGAGAAATCCCATAATGTTTTGGGAACACACCCATATACAGAAAAAATAGCTTTAGATACCGATGCAACATCATGTAACTAAAAAATAGTGCCTTTGAGAGTGGCGTATCGTCATATCTTGTGATGACGAGTGGATCATCTTTTTCTGATAATGTCTTCCATTCTTGTAAAGATTTTCCACGCAGATTTTCTCCAACCTGTATAATTGCTGCAGGGAGTCCTTCACAGTTCTTGGCAATCTTCTTGGCAATCTTCTCAAGTTCTCAACTGCACTTCTCCTCTCTATTAAAAAATGTGGTTTGATGAAGTAGTTTCCAACTGTCGTCGTCCCCAACGCGCACTTATGTGGTTCTCGACTTCAGAGTTTTTATTTAGAATGAAATTTGGAATTGTTGTCTGGAAACGTGTTTTTAATTTTTCATTATTATCAGAAACGTCCCCAAAACTTTTAAATATTTATGGAAATGGCCCTAAAACATTTCCAACAGGTGTCATGGAATTTTGATTTCCGAAACGTTTCCAAAACGTGGAAACGAGTGTGGGTTGAAGTTTCCGTGCACCATAGTTTATAAGTGAAGTACTTTGAGTGTACATCATCATATTCATAGAATTTTCATAATAAAATTAATATAATAAAAACAATTAATTTAAAAATTGAAACTCCATTAAATATCTAATGCTCAGCTTCAAGTAAATAAGAAAGCATCGAAGTTGACTCTTCTCAACTCCCCGCTTCTTTTTATCAGTGACAAGTTACAAGTTACAAGCCATTGCAGAAAGAAAAAAAAAAAAAAAAAACAAGTAAAACACAAAAAAGAACGTTATTTCCAGAATTGCTTATGATCAGTAGCATCAAATTCAATTATGTAAAGTTAATTGCCTTTTACATTTATTACAAGAAAGACCTTACGAATAAATCAAGGAAATATCCGAAACATAAGTTTACAGTTCCCTGAAAGACTAGTTTACAGTTCTAAGAAATACAGGCTTATGATTTATGCATGTAAAAACTCTAACTGTAGAATTTCCACATAAATATCAAATGAAATGAGGGAAAAATACAGTTTTCGTCCCTCAAGTTTGCACGGATTTCACATTAAGTCCCACATATTTATAAAAAACACATCCGGTACCTCATGTTTCAATAATTTAACACCTTTTGTCCTTTCCATCAATTTATCGTTAGTTCAGTTAAGTCATTACAACGCACACGCTTGATTCCAGTACTGCTAATGGAAATTTGACAAAAATGACTAAAAGTGTTGAACTTTTGAAACATGACAGACCAAATGTATTTTTTGTGAACATGGGGGACCAAATATGAATTCGGTACAAACTTGAGGGACGAAAACTGTATTTTCCCCAATGAAATGACATCTCCCGGTTAAAAGTACCTCTTCGAAAATATTTGATCGTTTCTTTTTCTCCATGAAAAGTGTTTTTGTTATTAAATGTCTATTGCGCACTCAAAAAAAAAAAAAAAAAAAAAAGGAAATAGTCTACGTTAAGCTGAGAGGAATAAGTAATAGAGCTAATTGCAAATACCACCCATGTGTTATCTCTAATTGTCAAATTCAGTCTGTAGAAAAAAACTCACCAACACCCCCTTGTGTTATCAAAGTCAGAGCATCGAGACCCCTAAAGCCAAATCGTGTCACTCACTCACGGATTGTGCGATTTTTTATAGTTTTTTAGGGTGAAATATCATAAATACACCTTTATAAAAAAAAAAAAAAAAACCTTGTTGCTTAAATTATGAATAAACTAAATTTATAGGACCAAATTGTAATTTTCAGAATTCAAACTTAATAATGTGAAAATATTATGTCCTTAAAAAAAAGAAAAAAGAAAAAAAACAATCATTGTCTTCTTCCCGTTCCCCACCCCTAAACCCCAACCCCCAAGTTCAGCACCATCACCTCCTCTTCTGCAATCCACATACCAGACTCAGAATCAGCACAACCCGAGGCTAAACCCAGCCCCAATTACAAAAACGGCCTATCTACATCATCTCCAAATGATTTCTCTCGGCGGCGACGAGTTTGACGGCCGAATCTGCTAGGTCAAAAAATTGCACATTTTTGTTCTTTTCTCTTCTCTTGCTCGCCTTATCGCCGCCACCACCGTCAAAATACGAGATTGTGGAAAGGTTTGAGGCACGCTGTTATGTGTATATTTCTACACTCAATGTATACTTTCTTACGAGGATTTTTGTATACTTTTATTGATTTAATGATGCTTAATGAGTTGTTTATTGTATTTTAGATACAACTTGACGAATTGGGATTTCCAAGGACGAAACGATCCAAAGAATGTAAAAAACGGGCAAAAACGGAAGAAAACCAAAAATATGCTGAAAATTGGCCCGCGCGGCCGTGCCAAATTTAGCCTATTTTTGGCGCGGCCGCGCCAACTGCAGAATGAGGGCAGAAGATTTCGGTGATTCTCGCGCGGCCGTGTGAGAATTACACTGATTTTCGCGCGCTAGAGACAATTTTGGACTTTTAATCACACAAGGAAACCTAAATTTTTCTACCAAGTTGGGACATCTATTTAAGCCCAAATTACCAAGCACGAATCAAAGGACTTTTTGAACACAATCTTAGAGGAAAAGGAGCGAGAGACACGGAGAAACAAAGACGGAGAATTGACAAATCTTCATCACAATTCTTCTTTCATCTATCTCTTCTTAATCTATTTCTTTTTATATTTTTATTATGTTTTTCGCAGAGAACATGAGTAGCTAAGTTTTTAATCTAGGATTTTGTTGGAACCCTATGTGGGGATGGTGAACCCGTTTTCTTGAGATTATGCAATTATGATTTTATGATTATTTCTTCTACTTGTTATGATTGTTAGTGCATGAACCTGATCAATTTATGTGCTTTATCTGTTATTATTGGGATTGACTCGACAAAGCTATTTTGATAATTAGACGGTAAGTATAAGAACCTTCGAGTAGTTTTCACCGGATGAGTGTGTCAATTGCATGTGGTGTTCGTAGACATACAGATATCACCTTAGGTAGCCATTTACGAGACTTGTTAGTTAATGCTTTATTCATAATTTGTTTGCATAGACATATAGTGAACCGATTATGAATAATAGACTCATAATACACGCGACAGCGGGTTATGAGTAAATTAGTGTCTCGGGTTAATAATCATGAATCATATATTTTATAATTGAGGGGTTTTGGGTGAGCCATTCTTGCATAGGGGGGAGATAAAATCCTAGGTCCGTTTTTATTGATATTTTCTCGTGTTTAATTGCTTTCATAATTAGTTTAATTATTTAGTTGATTAAATTTGACAACTTTGCGTAGGCTGGATAAAAATCACAGTTGTTAGAATTTGGTACTTAGGATTAGATAATTTGAGTATTCCCTGTGGGATGGACATCCGACTCTCACGAGTCCACTTTTACTACTTGTTTGCGATACGTGCACTTGCGTGTTAGGTATTTAGCCCCAACAAGTTTTTGGCGTCGTTGCCGGGGAATACGGCTAAATTATCTATTTATTCTAATATCAAATTTGAGCAATTTTTCTTACTTCAGCCATTTAATTTTTTTTTTTTTGTTACATGTCTGGTTACAATGTTCGGGCACCTCAAATGAGATATGAATGGCTTCCATCTGACGAATACCTCCAAAACACCTATGATATGCCTTCGTTTTGTTCAACATGTGGTGGAAATCATTACACCGATCAATGTTGAGAATCACCAAAAGCGACGAATTTCGTCGAAATTACCAACAGAGGTTATTGGAACACTTACACCAACACATACGAGCAAAGCTTTCAGGACCAAGATTTGAACGAGTTTCAACATAGAGAGCCACAATTTGATGATTTTCAAAATTATTATCCATCGCAGCAACAAACCACTAATGACCAACTTGATTTGGTATCCATCATTGGCGAATTCATGAAGTCCACTCAAGCATCATTTGAAAACATGGAGATACAATTGGAAGAGATGACGCTCAAATTAAAATTGGAGTCTTTTGAAAATAGTCCAGACGAAATCGGCAATGGTTATATCAAAGAAAATTCGGGTGAAGCTTGCGGTGAGAAAAATCTTCCATGTCCAGAAAATAGTGTCGATATGAGAGAAACAGAAATTACGAAGACACTTGAGCATGATGAATCTGAGAAGTCAATCGAGCTAAACCACGAAGATACCTCAGAACTAGAGAAGAAGGAGATTGATGTAATGATTGAAGATATTCTAGTTGTGGACCATGTCGTTGATCTAAATGTGGATTTGAAGGCATCAATAGTGGTTGATGAGAAAGCTAATGTGTTTGAGGTTGAGGTTATACGTAGACTGGAGATTTTTGTATACCGACTTGAGGGAGCGGCCGATGAACATCCTATCTTGGCTTCGTCCAGATTTATTACAACAAAAAAAGACTACAAGCTAAGGTGGATCCTAACATATTGCAATGCTATCCATGCCTTGGTTGCAATTGAAGTGATAGAGCTCATGGGTGGATGCGCAATCTACAAGGCTTTGGATTGGACATAATAATTTCAAGAAGGAAAGTCTGGCTGAAGACTTAAAACTTAGCGCTTCTCGGGAGGCAACCCGAGCATTTATTGATTTTCGTATTTTTGTTTGTTTTTTTTTTCTTAGTATTTTATCATGCGTAAACTAATAATTTAATCTTGTTTTAATTTTCAGGTCGAAAATCAAACACTAAGGGATCGGACGTTAGAGGTCGAGTAAACGAACATCAAAGAGTGAATCCCTTGGAAGGACCTTTCGACTAATCAGGTGTATTCTATCCTTGAACTTTGTGCTAATTACATCGAGGGCAATGTAAATTATAAGTTTGGGGGTGAAAAATTGCTTGTTTTATGTGCTTAATTTTTTAGTTTGCATGCATTAGGAGTTTTGTTTAGTTGTTTTATTTTAGTTATTGCTTTCGAAAAAAAAATGAGATAAATGCGTCGATGAATCATGATGATGAAAGATGGTTGATGTTTAATGATGAAATTGCTTGCTTTATCTTGATTGTGATCGAATTT